GATTTACAGAACCTCTTATTAACAACTGAGAACCATACAGTAAATTCTTCATTTGCAAAATGTTAATCAATTGTCTCAAACTTGACTGTTACTTCTTCAAATAACATTCAATCGTCTCAGGCTTCATTGTTCTTTTGATTCCACTTCAATCAATCTCTATTCTCGTTTTCTTTCCTTTGATCTTAACCTTCTGCCTCCAAGTGTTTCACATTCGACTGATGATGCATACTACTTATATCTATCGACATCAGTAGCACACACCACAGTATGTTACACAAATCAAAAGTTGAATGGCTGTCAGCAAAAAGGTAACAAGATCGAGTTGAATAGAACATAAAAGGAAATAGAAAGAAAATTTTGAACTGAAAGCATCATATAGAGCGTGAATAACAAATGATGAAAAGTTACAAATGGTTCTGATATTGCATCAAGATATTCTGTAATTTTGTTTTAAAACATATTGGTTATCCCCATTTGTGTTCTCGTTCACTTCACTAGTTTACAAAATAATTTAAGTGGAAATGTACAGTAATTTCTCTCAGTAAACAAGCAAATTTGAATGACAAGTATTACTATTTGAATTTTGATCATATTTTCTGTATTGAACAATAAGTTTGTTGTTATTGTTTACAATAACAATAAAACTTCATTATCCAAAACAAATTATTACCCTTCAAAAAACGAAAAAGTTAATTTTTCATTGATTACTACATTTAAATAAAACCTTTGATGAAGTTATTTGAAGTTAGACATTAACACCGTTGGATGCCGGCTCAGTGGTCTAGTGGTTAAGTCCTGGGTTCGAACATCGCAGGGGGCGATGTCGTGGATGCGCACTGCTGATGGGTCCCACAATAGGACGAAACGGCCGTCCAGTGCTTCCAGGTTCTCCATGGTGGTCTAGCTCCAACTGACTCATGATCTTAACCTTTGATGAATGCCAAAAACAGATGAATTGATAAATACAATTTATTAGTTTTCCTTAGATTTCAAATATTGTGTTTCTTTTATTAGCTTCATAATTTGTAGATAATAAACATATTTAGTTGAGATATTGAAGAAATAAGAATAAAATGAAAAAACAACCTACTGATAATGAAAAGGTAGATCTCGTTTTTGAAAGAAAAAAAAGAAAGTTGCTTATGATCAGTTTCATGTAAATTTACAAATTTACCGCCTACATTCTTATTATTCTTTAAGTGAATATTTTATCAGAATTTGATGTTATCAGAGGAATTGTCGAAAATTACAGAGGATTAGGACAGTTGTTTGACCAAGTTCAACTAATGACTATTCAGTCAGTCAGTCAGTTACAACGTAGGACCGGGCACATATGTGCCATACTTCATTAATACAACAAGATGAACAACGGACCGTTGTTGCTACCTTGACAAAGTGTTCTGGCTTGCTTATCGTGATGAACCAATCGAGCTATACTGGCCGAAAAAACCGTTCCTCAAGGCCCTACCATGCCAGACATGTCGGTTGATGAACGGTAAGACTCAAGGTCCGAAGGCGATGTCGTACTGCTGACTGTACAGATGTGTGACGGCAGTAAAGTGTTTCCTTCAGACAACCAGCTTAACAGCGATGCTGCCTTCCCACAAGGAGGGGTGGGATATCCGTCTCTGGTGGTAAGGTCTCAACAAGTACGAATCTAACACAAAAATTACTCATAAAAAGGTCGTGTGTAACCGACATTGGGCACTACGGTCACGCTCTCAGGTCACTAAGACCACCTCTAATCCAATTTCCTTTACAGGTTCCTCCGGAAGAACCTTCCACGGTGGGGGAAACCGGGAAGTGATAACCGCTCTCATACTTCTAACAGCACTCAAGACCACTGTATTTATAATCAACCTCCCTCTTCAATTCCTATTATTTCTCCTACATTGACTTTCAATTCTAAACTTCCTCTTTCGGCTTCCTCCTCAAGTGTCACCATAGACAACTAATGACTATTACTAGTACTTTGATGATTTTAAAACTTAAGAATATAGTTGAAATCTATGAAGATCTTGTTTATTAACTCTTTTTGATTGGTAACATAGTACAATCGTCAATCAATATCATCGACAAACTATAATATTCTGTCTACTGACTAGTACATGATTGAATAAAATGTGGATTTGTTTTTGATTTAACTAAATCTTAATTAAATTACTTGGTTACAAAATTCTTTATATTTTTCTTTAATTGAAATTTCTCTAATTTACCAACTTCAACAAATTTATTTAACAAACTTTTCAGTCTTTAATTAATTTACATTAACTTTTAATTACATAATTAGCTAATATAATGATAATTCAACTATGTTACACCAAATAGTTAAATACATATTTATCATTAATTATAGTTATATATTGAATACCTTAATCAATCTCTGATTTGTTAACATATATATATGTTATGTAGTATTACATTCTTTTCTGTATTTTGATAATAAAAATGATGATAACATTGGTCATTTTAGATTGCTTAATATAAATTATATTGGTAAACTATTGTCTTGTCGCTCTTTTAATTAATACATTTTGAAGGTCATTTTAATCTGTTGTCCAATTTGATTTGTATTTTTTTAAATATGAATTTTAGCTTATCTCTTAAAAGTTTAGTTACGTATTGTAATTTAAAGCTTATAATTTGTCTAAGTACTCAAAATTGTATAATAATAAAAACCGTTGGTATAGAATTGTGGATATTATTGAGTTTAGATTGATATCATAAATAAATCAATGTTAAATTGAAGGTCCTGAGTTCGAGCCCCGCGTGCAGGATCATAAATAAGCATTGATGAGAAGTTCCATACTAGGATGAAATGGCTGTCCAGTACTTTCAGGTTTCCGATAGTAGTTTAACAATGATTCACTCATGATATCAATCTAATAATAAAAATATCAGAAAATTTTTTTGATCGTATCACTTAGATTTAAAGCAAATCTATCAAGTGTTCTACATGTATAAATATCCAAAAAAGAGTCATTACATTCTGAAATTTTCTAAGAGAAAAATTAGCATTTCTTTCAGGCAATTTATTCAAAGGAAATTGATTTCCTCTACATTTTCTTGCTAATTAAAAAACATTTAAAATAAAATTGAATGTACATTGATTGTCTCGCCTGTTACCCTTCGTGGAGTATCATAGGCTGCCAGTAGCCCTTCTAGGGTTACTGCCTGTCCCAAACCCGGATAGTAGAGAAGAGTTGAGCATGGAGTCAGCAATCCCATCCCGTAGAAAACAGCTTTATTAAAACGACGCTAACCAGAATAAATCATTATATACAGGATTATAGAAAGTCTAATAATTAAATCGATTTTCATCAGTGAATTGGATGCATTTTCAGGTCATCTATATTGAATAACTTATGTTTCTTAATTAGCTCTAATGACTATTCAAGTGAATTCTTCACAAATGTTAAGTGTTTATCTTTAATTTATTTTAAACAGTATAAAGATCAAAAAAGCAATAAAATGTTATTTTTTGTTTTGTTTTTATAGTGATAGGCGTAAAATTCTTGTTATGTAACAGTTATATCAGTCCTGATTTTAAATAAAATATGAAACTCCATAATATTGATTTCTTCTTAAAGTATACACAGTACATGTAAACTGATTACAAAGTTTTTTTAATCAACTCACAGCGAACATAATCCATAAGTGCATTAATTGATTCAACAATAATTGCTTATTATCAGAATGTGTTTTGTGGAGATTTTTAGAAATTTGCACAGATTGAAATCATGAGTCAGTTGAAGGTAGACCACCATTGAAAACCTGGAAGCACTGGACGGCCGTTTCATCCTAGTATGGGACTTCTCAGCAGTGCGCATCCACGACCCCGCACCACTCGGGGCTCCAACCCAGGACCTACTGGCTTCGCGCGCGAGCACTTAACCATTAGACCACCGAGCCGGCTCAGTGGTCTAAAGGTCAAGTGTATTCTCATTAGGCCTATGGTTCCTACTCGGAGTTCCGAGTGCATGATCGTGGATGCGCATCGATGAAGAGTTTCATAGTAGGACGAGCCGGCCGTCCAGTACTTCCATGTTTCCAATGGTGGTCTAACACTGATCGATTAATGATCTTAATCTCCACAACCTCATACTGAGTGATAAAAATTAGTCCAACTAATTGATCAGACTAATTAAATTAAATTACATTATCGGTTAATTGATCACTGAATAATAAAAAGAAAGTGATTTCTATTTCAGTTTTGTACTATCATTTGACTAATAACCTAAAGTGATTTTCACCTAATGAAAGACTACTTATATTAATCAGTAATCTCTTTTAAAATCCTTTGATTTATTTGGAGAAAATAGAAATATAAAATAAACATGAAATAGAAAATGTAGAAGTATTTCACAGCAAACCATTAAAAGTACAACATATATTTTGCCCCTAATTGATATCAGTAAATTTTATAAATGATGGAGAAGATTTCTAGCTCAGCTTGATAATTTCAATTGAGTTTTATTCTTTGAGTTGGATAGTTTGATCATGAAACTTCTATCTGAAGTTTTGTGCTGATGATGTTGTTCAGAGGAATAATGAGAGCTTCACAACGAAACCATCCAGCTCATTAAATAAAACTCCATCAAAATCAATAAAATTAATCAATATTTAAATAAATAAAACTTAAGAAAAATATAAAAAAAACAAATTTATATGAATATTCGTCAAGATTAGAACGAATAGTTTGACAGAACCTATCAGTCTTGCGCCAAACGCTTAACCAACTAAACCACTGAACTGGCATCCAATGGTGTTAATGTCTAACTTCAACCAATCCACGTAGTTGCACCACCATATACCATTGTCTTCAGTGAGCTGACAGAAATTGGGTGCCGAGTAAAGAAAAGTCATTATATTTAAAACAATCTCAGCGATTAAAATTTAAATAATTCCAACATTTCGTCCAGTTAACTTGTCTGGACTTCTTATTTATAATAAGAATATAATAAAATGTTCAAATGCAATTCATCTACTTGATAACATACCTATAAATCATTTTGATTTGATTTTGATTATCCAATGATGATTGCATTCGGCTTATATGTTCATTATTATAATAATCATTACAGATTTAATTAGATTCATATTTATAGTTTATATATTTCCATTTATACTATTTTATTACTTTATCATTCTTATTAGAATGGTAATAGTCTAATTACATTCTCACTATCTATTAACTGTAATACATTTGAATCTTCATCTTCTTCTAATATAAGGATAAACATAAAAATTGAAAAGACTTTTTTCCTTCTTTATCCATTCAAAGTAAACATACACATCGTTAAATACACAAATAATACAATCATATTTTGTCATTACATTATTGGATAAAATTCATTATAACTATTTAGTTAGTCAATCATATTATAGTGTAAATCTCCCACATATTCTTAAATGTTCAATTTATTTTGTTTGATTGGTTGAAATACAGAAGAAGAAAAAACAGTGAATGATACATACATAACGATAATGGTCCAAAAATAACGAACAGTATAAAGTAATAAATACTACTGAAGATGATGATGATGAAGAAGGAGAAGAAGAAGAAACATGGAACTCATACATTTCTTTTTATGAAAGAGTTATAAATAGTTTAGATAATTAGAAACCAAAAACTAGCAATGCTTGAAAAATGAGTCAAGAATTAACAACAACAAAAAAAGAGGTAATATCCAATCCAGAGAATTATATATTAAGTGAGTTTAGATTAGCTTCGGTCAAATTCTTCATTTACATTCTGAATAATTCACGATTATATATTTGGTGATTCGTTAAGCATGGAAAAATATTCATTTTCCCCCGTAGTTCTAGTATCACTTTGTTCGGACAACTAAGTGAAATTATAAGTATAGATAATAAGGTGAGACTATAATTTATGGACAACTTTTGAACGACACCAAAATGACCTTGTGAGTGTCCATCTAATAACTAGAACTAAATTACGGTTATAAATCTGTTTGAGGAATTAAAATTATCATTTACAGTTGATGATTATGGTCAGGAATTAGATTTAAGGCTTTCATCACGAACTGATATCAGCTATAATGCCAAAACTCTATTTAGCCAAATGGATGAATGAATGTAATGCCAAAATCCAAGACCTTTATCTTATACGTGATTGGTTCGTCCATAAATTATAGTCTCGCCGATAAATAAATGAGTTAATTGATTGATTGATAGTGTTACTATTTTGACTGTCTACAACTTTTTTATCTCGCCAGAAAATATGGTCGAAATAAAGGGGGACATTTGCTATATATATATATATATATATATATATATATATATATATATATATATTGTAGCAGCGTTAATTTGTTAAGTAAATCATCAACTAAGAAGTAATTAAAGATTGTTCAACCTGTACTTGAGAATAACTTTCAGTGTTGTTAAGTGGATATTTAGTATTGACAATTGTTCTATTCTAACTCATCTAGTCCAGATAGAGTATTAGACAAAATTTAACTTTTTTTTAAAAATCTACCATGTCATTAATAATCTGTTAAAAACTAACTAGCTCCAAATCATTAAACAATACAAGTGGTTAGCCATTCCACTCTCCGCTGTTGCCGCTTACGTTAGTTCGTAGAAAGAAAGATCACCCATTATTCAGAGGGCAATACATGGAGGTGCAAGTTGGACTTTGCCCCCACCCCTCCATTAGAAGCGATATGAATACAAATTCAAAACCAAAGCAATCAGTTCAAGAAGAGCATGTTGAATCTCTTTTCTTACTAGTGATTTGCCTCAAACCAAAACATTTGTAATCAAATCTGTTATTAATTGATTCAATATATCTAATTTATCGGTCTATTTATCCTGCATATTTCTTCATTTAACATGCATTTAATTTAGTTGTTGTCAATATATATTTGAAAAATGTATCTAGTACTGATCATATTTACTATCCCTTATATTAATAATTTCCCTTCATGTACTGTATAACATTCGATCGGACATTTACTTTGTTTATTAATATTTCTCTAAACACGTTTCTAATGTTGATTTGGGCTATTCAGTTCAAATTTTATTTACATAACAAACCTACTCCAGTATAGAATACACCTATACATTCAATCTTAACAATTTTCAACGACAACAAACTTTATTACAAATTTCAATTGCGTAATCAGTTATTAGAAAACAAGTTTATTGTCTTACATACGGTTATCCGTTACGATCAACAATGTATACTCATCACTGTAGAATATTAAATGAATTTACTGGCTAGACATATTCTTTGTTCGAATATCAATACTTTATATGGGTGATGCCAATTTTTAAATGGTTCTTTAGTCTCTTTATAGACGGTATTCTTTAAGGATTGACTTAAGCTTCAATACCGATGAAAACCAAAGAGTACTACATAGATCTTTTGTTATTGGATTCCCTACCAGTAAGAAGTGAGTGCTCAACATTTAAAGTACAAAGTCGGATCGGCCGAACTTCTAAATCCAATCAATTTATAATTTAGGATAAAGATCGTCTACCGTCATCAATAATAATTACACCACTCCTGACATAACTGGTTTCTAGTATTATATTAACCTGTGTCAAACCGTTAGAAATAAAGTACAGGAATTTAAATAATCTCATCAAAGTTATCTTGAGCTGGTCACACAAAAGACTTTACTTTTGCATATTCTCTCAATGAATAAAACCAGGTAATTTCTAGTCTTGATCAGAAAACAAATCCACACAGCCTATTGACCGGTATCAAGATAATTTAAGTATTCCAACTTTAGTTATTTCCCATGATAGTGCTCTCTTCCTTCTCTGTTGTCATTGTTTTAGTATGATGCCAATTAAAAATTTATTTTTGACAGTTCTTTGGGATCACTACTTTACTTGTTTGTTATGTCGCCATCACAAGTATAAATCAGTATTGCCACACTATAGCTTCAACGTATATATCTTTTCGGAATATTGTTTGGGCTATAGCTGACTGCAATGTAGAATGTACGTTTTATTGTATTTGCTACTACTCAGCTGTATACACCAGCCTCTCATAATGGTAAAAATCCACCACGACCTGATAACAATGATTTGTTGTTAACCACAATATAAATTTAATAAAAACAAACAAAATGAATGTAATATTCTGTTGTTGTTATCAACTGAAATCTGATGTGAAATACTTCCATTTTCCACTTTTATAAATAGTCAATCACTATGAGAGACCGTTTTAAATTCATTGAGTATAACAATCAAAATACGATGAGATAACTTTTAATAAATTGAACACAGTTGATATTCTGCCAAGATTCTTTCAAATCACTACAAGATATCTTCATAAAGAGGTAGACTTATTGTGTTATGTTGTCATGTATACTTAACGTTGTTTACTTTTGAATTGACTTTGAATGTTAAGAGTACTTGAATGATTTTCGACAAACAATTAAGAGATTTTAGATAAGTTGATTATTCTTTTTCTTAGTTTAATTACTCCTGGAAGTATATAAACACCGAGTGAAAAAATTAAAATAAAAGATACGTGGAGTAGCTGATATGAAGATAATCTTTTTCATGAGTTGATATCAGTTAAGAAATCTCTAAAAGCGAGCTAACATTGAATAGCTCATTAGTCCTAGTTTGAGCTTACTCTTCGGTAGTGTTTGAATCTTCCCAGGACTGTAATTGGTTAGTATCATATTAGCATGTATGCATCCACTGCGGATCGCCTCGATATCGCCTTAAGCCACAATCATTATAAGCACAGATGGATGATGGCTAGCAGTGAAATCCAGGACGCGTATTTGGTTCTATTTGGGACTTATCAGCCGAATGTACCTCCATCCCAGGGTTGGTTTCCACCCCAGGACTCAAACTCAGTATCTTACGTTTCAAACGCCATTGCTTTTTCCACTTAGTTACTGAGTCCAGATAGCCAATACCTTGTCTCGGAATGGACATCAAATCTGGGATGCAGGTACATCTAGCTAACGAGTCCTAAATAGGACGGAACACGCGTCCTAAATTCTACTGCTGGCCACCATCCATTTTATAGACAGTATTCAAAGAACGCAACATGACAAATCCTGTTCAAATAAATATTGGTTGTTCTTTATCATTACAAATTGCGAAAGTGTTTAAGCAAGTATGTATCATAAATTAACATTTTAATGCTATTACTTTTAGCAACTTACAATCAGAAATTTAAAACTTCTGGGAATTGTAACTTCTTGTAAATTAGGTCACATAAACAACAATGTTTTGATGTTTACAACACAACAGTGAGTTGTTTTAGACTTACCCTACACATAACACTATATTGTAAATTCCGTTAGTGTTTATCGATCTATACCGTTTACAGTATAACGATAAGAATTATTTTTAATTAGGTAACACTTTGAATATGATTTTTTATTCGAAATTAGTTCATAGAAAATAAACTCTTGCGGAAATAATGCTTAGTGCATATTAATCCCTTAATAATATTGAATATCATCTTTAAATGAAATTCATCTTTATTGTATACACCATGGTGTTTTATAACCAATGAACATTTTCACGGAGTTTTGAACATGTCATTGTAAATCTATGGAATACAGAGGGTGATCTTCTATTCAACCTTAAATGACTATAATAACTCTGAACTACATCTGATATATATTTTGGTTTAATGTCGAATAACGGTTAAAGTCAATTCTAATTTTTAACCGATCAATATCATTTAGATAACCAGTGAATAATAGACAGCACTGGACAAATATTTCGTTCACTTTTAATGACATGACAACATCTTCACAAAACTGTCTTTTTTTTCTTCCTTAATAATTACCATTATTACTAATGACTGGTTACTTGGAAAAATTTCTCTGTAAAAAAGAGAACTTAAGCATTGATTTCATTAGCCACCTAATATTATGCTAAGATACCAATACACTTAAGCTAATCGCAATGAATATAAAGAAGATCCAATATAATTTTACCTAAACATCCAATAAAATCTGTCATATTTTTGATTTATCCTTAAATCTATACTACAAACATACAAGCAAGTTAGACTTATTTATTCAAACGGCAGAT